GACAACCTGTCGCGCGGGAATAAATATGACGCGCGTTTACGTAATACCCCAGATAACAAATGTATATTCTAAGAATATTAATATAACATTTTGATAGCAATATCAACATTTTGAATTAAGTTCAACAATATTATTTGAACATTGTTAAAATGTTCTCACTTCATTAATGGTCCGCTTTTTTTTATGTTTTGGAAATGTTATGAATATAACATGTTTGAAATATTATAGTTCAAATGTTTTAAGAAAACAATAAATTAAATGTTTTTTGAAATGTTATATTTATTTATTTTTAAGAATATTGTGAAATAAACATTTTATAAATAGTCCGCCTAAAATGTGTTTTTTAAGTTATATTTTATTATTTACTTCACATTAGACATGTACCTTATATTTTATGGTTATGTTTTACCTAATTATAAATATTATTTAATTAAACTATAATATGGTTGTAATGGTGTATTGGTATCACATATTATTTATGTATATAATATATATATATTGTATAGGTATGAATCTATTATAATTTATACCTATCTAAACTAAAGATACTTCAATACTTCTATAATCCAGAATAGGTAAGCTGAATAAATAACACAATTGGATTTTGAATAGGTACTGTGCTATTTATTAACATGCTTACAAAATTATATATAATATTAACATTAAATAAACAGGTACAAATATTTAAATAATATGATTAGGTATTAGGATATAATAATAATTATATGTTATAACTTAATTACTGACATTTTTTTTTTAAATATAATAATAATACAAATGTAGGTGGGTTATGGGTAGATAGGTATATTCAATACTTTATGATAATATTATTATCATGTCTTTATGTTGATATAGTATAATATATGTATTACGAAGACTGAAGACGAAACTTAGCATGCGATAACCAAGTAGCCAATGGCACATCAATTTCTTTATCCAATTTATTTTGGAACTTAGGATTAAGTCGTATGGTGTCTGAAACATAGTATTATAATTATTAAATTTTATTAGTATTAAGAAATATACCTATCCCTAAAGTAGTCAAAAAGAAGACTATTGGGATAGTTTATTATAGATAAAATGAATTTAATATAGAGGAGTGGAGGACATTCTATAGCATGTATAATAATATAATATAATGGTAATATTATATGGTACCTAGAAAATCCTTAGGTTAACTGAATGATCATTAGAAATGTTGACATATTGTATTATATTTTGTACAATATACATTATACATGGACGATGGACAAAATGTATAAATAGGTGTACTTTTTTTACAGTTAAAATTATTAATAGAACAGGCTTTAAGCTATAGTATATTATAATCATAATTCATAATAATATCATCTTCAAACTATTAATATATAGTCGTATCGGCGGCCCAGGCCCGGATATTCTGTAGAAGGGGAAATTGGAAGACTACACCTGTCATCTATGCTTTTAGTGATAAGTCTCAGTTGTGATAATACACTGAATTCTATTTATATTACACTAATATAATAATCATGACGAAATAACATGTTATTTCGTCATGATAATAATATTCTATGATAATATAATATAAGTCTATACTCTATATTGTGATAATATTATAATTTATAATATTGTAAATTGTTAGTTGTTGCCGCTAGGTCACAATAATACCTGCCTTGTTTAATTCAATACTTAAGTTAATTAATAATTTGTTTTTCGAATATTGTCATACAGTTTTCTTTTCTGTAGTAATGTAATTAATAATTATCAGTAAACCATAATGCAGTTACCACTTTTAAATAAGTTAAATGTTATAAAGTTTTAAATTATTATGATTACTATACTGATGAGTATATTTCATTTTTTGTGAGAATTAAACATTAATTGTATAAATTAATTGATTATATATTTCCATTTACCAATTAATAAACGGTAAGTAGATAGTTGTGAAAAGTTCTTTTTTTTCTTGAATCCTAATAGTGAATAATGGCAAAGCACTTCATCTACAAACATTTTGGACATCAAACGCCTTGTGCTATCACCAATATCTTTGATGCCAATCAGCACCGAGAGTTTTGATGTCTGTGAAACAAATCAATGCATTTAAATATATTTATTATTACCACATGGTAAAAGCCTAGGTAATTATTTTATAACTTTAATAATATTATCTAAAATCACTATTCTCTAAAAAATTGATATAAATTACCTACATATTTTATTTATGAAATTAAATGAAAGGATTTAATTGCCCTGTAATAGTCCTATAAGAAACTTAGTAAACTTCAATAATTTATTCTATAGAATATAATAGAATCATAGAATTACACTTTAAGTACCTTTTAAGTTTTTTTTTATATATTATTTGGTAGGTAAATTCTAGTAGAATTATTATTGGCCACTATATTTATTTCATTATTCAACTATATTATACCTATGTATTGATAATGAACACTATTTTTTTTGTTCTAGGTAGTAACTAAAGTAACTAGTCATAAAACTAATATGATCTAAATTTTTATTGTAGTGCTTTTTTTAAATTTAAATAGAACCTAAGGAGTCATTATAGTATTATATTATATTAACTTTTATTAAATAGTAAATATAGGTATTAAAAATATATGTAAAATTACCGCAGTATTTCGAAATATTTTATCGCTTTTAATTCTTTCTTCAAATATTTCTAGTTCCTCTTCGGTTTTTATTGGGAATATATCATCAATTGTTATGGAAGAATTTTGGTTTGAAATTTGGGAAACAATGGTTTGTCCAGTATTTTTTAAAAAAGTATCAAATGCATTAATGGTAGTTTGTTGAATGTTTAATGTTGAGCTCAAATTAGATATTTCATACTTTATTTTACTTAATAAAGTCAGGACAAGGTTTTGAAAATCTAAAATAAAACATGAATAAATATATTATTATAAATAATGATTAAAAAACAAGCAATAAAAAAAACAATACATTTTAGAGTATTTAGGTTTACAAAAATAATCATGATAAATTGTTATTTTTCAGTAATAGTAATTTAACATGGATATTATAAAAAAGCATACTAAAAACTAAAAATATTATATTGAAATAAGAACACTTTTTCAAGTCTGTACTTATTAGATCTATTCAAATCCTTAAACTACAATTTTTTTCATGCATATTTTGATTTCTATTTTATTAATATTAATATATATTTAATGTATGATTATTGGTATACTTAATGACTACGTAGTACTTCTAAAATTAGTTACAAAATATTTATTAATATATTATATATTTATCCAATAGTCACATACCGCCATTTTGTATTTCATTGTTTTCTGTAGAAGAATTATTATTAACATTGTTTTTAATTTGTTGAGCATGTATACCTAAAAATTAATTTAAAGTTCAATATTTGTTGCTAATAAAATACCTAGATATAATTAAAATTATCTATAGAATGGTTTTAAAATAAATAGATAATTTAACCTGATTATCACATAAAATATCTATCTTTTTTTGAAAAATAATATTAGATATATTATTCATATTAGTATATATGTATTATTTTATATACCTTCTGATAAATTTGATGGTTGTGAGAAAAATAATTTTTTTTTAACATTATTTGTCTTTAATGTCTTTAACACTACGGTATCTGGAGTCAGTTTATTTGGTTGTGACATAAATATTGTTGACTTGTTTTGTTTTGGAGATGGAGAAGTCATCAAATTATTAATTATATTAGGAGAATCATGATCATCCTCAACCAAAAACTTTCCAACAGGAGAATTGAAAATATTTGGACTTGAGGGAACGTTGTTATAATTTCTGATTATTGGACTCCTCTTTGGACTTGGATAATCTGAAATAATTTATAACAATAAATTACAAATAAAAAAAAAATAAAAGTACCTAAATATGTTAATATTAATATAAAACTGCAGAATAGCAGGGTTAGTTATATCAATAATAATAATAATATGAATTGTGACTTAAATAATTTAATTTATTTTACCATTTGAAACCCCAGGTAAATGATATTCAGGATCATTATCAGAGTCATACATATCTATAGAATTTTCATCTTCTTCAATAAATTCATCAATTTTTCTTTTCTCTGTTAAATTGTTAAATAGATAATATTAAACATTTTATATTAACCATAAATATAGCAAGAATTTACATAATATAAGAAAAAATGTAGGTATAAATTATTTTAGAAGCAGATTTTTTTTTTGTAAATTATTTAGAAAGTTTAATATAATATTAAATACATATATTATATATAGGTAATCTTGAAATTTAGAGAAAATTAAATATAAATTAAACATCTTACTAGATTTTAAAGTTGGAGGACTTTCTATCTGTTTGTTTTCAAATGTTTTTTTTGTGACTTTTTTACATATATATTCATCGTTTGCAGATAAATCTGAAAGAATTAGAGCCTTATTGGCTTTAGAACGAGCTTCTTCTAAGCTTCCTAAAAAATAATATTTATTGTAAAACTTTTTGTTACGCTATATAAATTAATATTATAAAATAATATTCAAACATCTTAATTTATGTATATTAACTATCATCTACCTATTATTAATTATTTAAATCTTATTCTTACCATATTTACGTCCTAATATCCTTGCTGGTAACCAATTATATTCCAACTTATTTGGATAACTTCTTTTTTCAATTAATTTTTTTGCACTATTTTTTGAAATAGGCCATGCACATGTTTTAGTTTTTCTATTATACCATGTTTCAGGCACAGATTCAACAGAATCTTCATTCAAGAAATGAATAACAATCCACATTTTTAACTATGTAATACCTATGAAAGTTAAATTTAAACAATATAATATATTACAAATAGGTATATTCAAATGTAACCAAATAAATGGTATAAATAGTTATATAAAAATTATTTTTTACAAAATAAAAAAAAATAAATCAACTTATAATAGTAAATTAGTATAAATTATATCATATAAAGCTAAACGTATTGGCTTTTAAGGCTTTAATATTATATGAATATGGCAACAGGTAACCATGTGAAATATTAAAAAACTCATTATTATAACTAAGCTAGGTATCTGTTTTGTATTATATCATTAATTATTTTATTATATTATAATTTATAATCAATGGTTATAGTGAAAAGTGAAATTTATAAGTACCTAATGCAATTTGTTTAAATTATTAATTATTAATTTAAAAACTACTTATGAAAAAAAAAATGTTATAATTTATTAGAATAAAATAAAGGTTAAGTGTGAACTATTGGCATAACAATTGAATTTTCATTGTGAACTAAAAATAACATTTTTTTTATGGATTTCACAATCTTCAAAGCATTTTAAATTTTCACTTAAATTGTGCACAATAAAAATATTAAATATTTTTGAATCTACTGGCTTTTCAAAAAGGGGTGTTTTTTCTTTCAAATGATTTTCCAATAATCATGATTTTATTATTTGAAGTCTTAACAATATTTAAACATTTGATAATTTCTCCAGATTTAGTTAAAATATAACTTTCGCGATCAACTTTGGTATTTAATTTTAATGTATTTTTTATTAATTTATAATACTGCAATCCATTAATATTTTTTACTAAAGGACCATTTTTACGACTTTTTAATAATAATGGTTCTTGATTTGTCGAATGATCTGATAAACTTGAATTGATGATGCTCTTATTATTATATATTTCATTATATCTGTTAATTAATTGTTCCAGTGGCTTGTCATGTTTTCTAATTTTGGATTTGAGTGTTTTCATGTAATTCTCGAATGGAAATGCGCTACAATTATCGAGTGGTCCATGACTCCTATAGTCATCAACTATGTGTAAAAGACCATGAATGTTGTGAGAAACATGCTGACGACCATACATTTCTTCAAATGTTCTCACAAAATAGTCCAACAATGATTCAGCATAGTCTGTATAGCACTCATAGTCTGGACTCAGTAGTATCAGCATTGAAACATATAAGCTCATAAAATTAGTATATATATTCTTATTTAAAATATTTTTTTAGTACAACAACGCCAGTATATAATAAAAATAAACGCAATTCTGTCGCTTTCCATCTACTAATGTCTTGAATATGTCGGGTCTTTCTCACAAATTCTGATGGAATGAATGGTTTGAGATCTAAAAGTGATTTACTTAATGCATGAATACTTTTACTTGGAAGTCGAGTTTGCATTGGTCCTTTATGCATCCAAAGTGTAATAAGTTTTCGTGTAACCCCAAGACACACCAAATGCATATAATCTAGAGGAAATGCACTAACTATATCTAAACCTGGTAACTCTACCAGTTTTGAAATTGTCCCAATATGTGAATCTTCATATTTCATATTTACATAATCATTATGTGTTTTTTTAGCTGACATATTTTTAGAGTATGGAAAACAAACTCGTTTTTCATAATATTCACCTTCTTGAGTACATCTACTACATGAATAAAATCCTGAGTGGCCTTTAGTATTTAAAATAAATGACTTTGCAGGTGCGTCACAAATGAATAATTTAATTCCAACCTGTATTCTACTTCCATTCAAAACAATACCTTCAGTTATTAATTGTTTTGATTCTAATATGAAGTCAGATAAAAAATTCATCAGTACATTTTGGTTTTGTATACCCGTGGTAAATTCCAACTGGAAAAACATATTTTTCTGTACCTATAATATAAGCCAATATCGGCCAGAATTGGCTGTTACTACTTTTAGTTAAAGGCAACCCATCAACGCCTATGGCAAGATTTATTTCAGTCGATTTAGTCGATAAAAATGTTTTGATACCATTTTTCAACCCAAAATGATAATAGCGACCAGGAGTAACACTTTTGATGTTTCCTATGGTTAACTTGGGCCCTGCTAAAAGAGTTCGACAATCTTGTGGTAATTTTTCTGTTTTTATTACTTCATGGCGTTTCATAAGTTTTAATAATTTGTTAACAGTTATTTGTGGGACGTTACATTCAGTAGCCCAACAACCAAGTTCAGTTTCAAAAGAATTATTTTCAATAGGCATTAACATTTCTACACTTGAAATTTCATTATGTGAATAAAAAGGTGATAGAGGATTTTGAAGCTCATTATTTACTTCTTTATTTAAATTTAAGCACGATGAATTTGGAGATGTGGAGTTAGGAAACATAATGTGTTTGTTATTTGAATAATGAGAGGACAAATTTGATGATACAGAATTAGGTAGTTCATTTTCTTCGTTATGAATTATCTGTAATATATAGCCTGTATTAGGTGATGACATACAATTTGATTTAATTGTCTGAGTAATAATTGTATTTATAAAAAATTACTTGATCTTCATTATTTGTATTAATTATGGTACTGCTTCTTGCACTATTAGTCTTTTTAAAATATAAATTTTTAATTATGGTCATTTCTCGTTTAACACTCCTCCTTATTACTGACTTATCTCGTTTAGACATATTGTTCAAATTATATGTATATTATGCTTTTATCTATTCAAAACAAAACTACTATTATAGGTAGGTACCTGACTAAACTTCTTAATATCATTTTTTAGTAACAATATTAAAATTTAATAAATACAATTATTTTAGTTATATATTAATCAGTAATTTTTTTGTCTACTTGGTACCTACTTAAATTATTTTACGGTATTTACATAATACTTAGGTATTCATGTAATAAGTTTAGTACATATAATTTAGTTAAAAAATTTAACTATTAAAATATATCTAATTAATCTAAACATTTATTATAATATTAACCTACATATTATACATACATATAAATTAGTTTTAATAAAACATTGTTTATTTAGTAGGTATCAAATAATTTTATATCTAGTATAAAAGTACCTAAACATTTTAACATTCATTTTCTTGTTTTTAATAATAAAAGAAATGATATTTATATATATGGGTTTTATTTATATCATATATATATAATATATATATATATATAAGCAGCATAATAAATGCTTGTTTTATAAAAATGTACAATTCAAGATTTTAAGACTTATAAAAAGCATATAGTGATAGCTTAGTACCTAACTAATTTGTAAGATTATATTATGTTAAGAAGTTTATTATCATATAGGTCATTTACAAAAAAAAAAAACAATAAAAGCAAAATTTTAACTAATTAGTCACAGTCATAGTCATAAAAATAATATTATTTAGATTTCTAACTATAAAATTATAGAATTAAAATAGTATCCTGTTAGAAAATTATTATTGTTTTTTTTCAGAGGATGTCAGCGCAAATTATAAACTATGTTTTCACCTAAAATTGTTTTTTTATGAGTTTAGAAAATTAGAGTAAAATCGACAATAATTATTGTTGTAATTATTACAAAAATTATAGAGGGTACAATTTTTGATTGGTCTGCCATATCGATTTTATATTTTATTATTATTTATTATTACTTTACAATCGACTTTCAAAATGAAAATTTTCTTTTATAAATTTAAATGATATATTATAGATAAATAATTTTATGCTAAAATTCCTCAAAAACATAAAAAATAAAATTATTCTGCATAGATATACATTAATGCAAAACATTTAAATTTTGCCTATGTTGCATTGTTGCGCGTAGGCCAGAGAAAGAGAAAACAAAAAGAACGCAGGGCGCTGACATCCTCTTTATAATAGTTGCTGAAATTCTAATTTGTCACATTATTCGTTAGCCATGAAATTCAAAGTTTTTACAAACCTTTATTGATCAGGCACTGAATATTTGTTGTATAAATAATAATTATGGTAATAGGTAAAAAAAAATAATAAATTAAAATTATTGAATTATGCTTTACTTACGTCTGTCGCGTAGTATCTTCTGTTTAAACTTTGCAATTTTTAAAAAACAAAGAGAAAATTTTAATAAACACTGCTAGCTAGTGATGATGATAAACTGCACAGTGCACGGTACGCGGTGATCGCCAAAATGGTAGAGACAAAGAGTAATAAAGTCGTAGTGTTCAAAATAATTCACCAGAATAATGTTAACAGCTGATATTTGGAAAAAAAAAAATTAAATAATGGTTCCTTGGAAACTGGAAGAATTTTCAAAACCTATTATGATAAATAATACTCGTTTGCGCTTTATTCGCGTGAACAAATATTGATAATATTGTCTAGGCTGCGTCGTAACGATTATAACTTATATAAAAGCTCTGTACTTACTTGTTATATACGGACTATGGGATGAGCTGTTTATATTTTCTTGGTACCTCTTAATTACTTTAGGTAATAGTAAAGGTCGCTCCATACTATGCATGTTTCGTGTTTTTTACGTTTTCGTTGAATTTCGTGAAAAGTGGAATGGGTATTGGTGTCGTAGTTAAGACGTACCATATAAATGATATTTGTTACAAAAAACTGGACATTAAATACAGAATTTTCTACACTTAGTCACACGGGCATCATAGAATTTTAATAATCTAAAATCTTAAGTATAGAGTAAAATTAAAATATTATGTAAATTTTAATTTATAGGAGAGGAAAATCTAATTTTTAAATTATGCAATATAATAAATAAATGGTATACATTTAAATAAATTATGAAAATTAAAATAATATAAGGCACCTAATAACCTATATAGTATATACTATATATAGGCACCTTGTACAGTTAGTACATCAGTAAATTATACAGTACTCTATATAACATTTTATGTTAATATATAATAGCAATATGGACAATAAAAGCATCCGTTCCGTTTGGGTAAATTAAATTTAGAGTACAGCCGTAGGTACATATTAAAATTGCCAATTAGTAGATGTTTCCCTGATCTCACGATCAAAGGTTTATCTAAAATTATCAAATTACCACAGTGATAAATTCGTTCAACATGTTTTATTACAATGAACCATAATAACATAACATATATTTTTATATTTTTACATTATCTCAATAATTCTATTTTCCTTCATAGGTATTTACAATTTTATTATATATAAATGAACAAATGAATAAGTCAATATTATATCGATATTTGGACAATATCTCGTGTTTTAAAAGTACATGTAGAAAATAAACCTACCTATAGCTATTACCTATAATCATGAAATCTAAATTATATAGTCTATAGCCATATAGGTTAGATTATCAAGTTTTACGACCAAACAAACAACATTGTCAATAATATTATATTCGCGATAATGATATATTAAAATATAATATTGTATTCATTAATCGTAAAAACTGCGTTCGAAGTAAGTATATAGGACGTTGTATTGCGCTTAGGTCATTTTATAGTTTAAACTGCTAAATAATAACAAAATATTTGTTAAGTTTAAATTTTAAATCGTAGAACATTTTATTTGTTATCAATCTAAACATCACTGAAATCAGAATAAGATTTAATTCTATGTAATAATCGTATATTTAAACATTTTTATGTATTATTTTACAACTAATTTATTTTTAAATATACATTTTACTACTTTTAAGATTCTAATTCTTTACTTCGTGTTTTCTATGTATACCTACGTATTTATAAAAATTCAGTAATTTTATTACTGTGTATATAAGCATAACTCATTAATATTATTTACTAAGAATAATTAATTATATTACTAATAATATATAGTTTATATTTTAGTTTTAAAAGTAAGAAACTTAAAAATATATTTAAATAATATTATTTTACTTTATTATATGACATTTTAAAATATTTTACAAGTTTTATTTTTAACTTAAATTTAATTGATATACATATTGAAGATATAGCTTTAAATAATGTTTCTACGTTCTCAATTTAATATGTTTCCCAATGAATAGATTCATATTGAAACATTTTGAAAATATTATATGTTAATATTATTTTAAAATATTCTAAATATTATGACTGATAAACATATATATATTAGTAGAAACTTAAGTTCTCAAGTTCAGAATAATTGGTGTTATAAAGTTCTAAGAATATTTAAGTTAAGAAATTGTTATCTGGGTTAAAGTGGATATGATTTTTATATTTTGCCCCCTCTCTTGAAAAATAGTTCCTGCGCTACTGCTTAAAGCATATTTCAAACATTTAAAATTTATTTTACTTTCTTTATTTCATTTTTCTCGTTTCTCTTGTGTTTTTTTTAAACAAAATGTTTAGTATATTTAATATTAAGAAAAAAAATAACAAGAATACACCAACTAGGGATAACGAAGACTGTGCATTGGATGATCCAAGTCCAATAAATATTAATAATTCGTCAATACCGGAACCGGATGCTCCTAAGCCTACCAGTGGCGCCGAGCCCTATGTCTAAGTGTTGCGATTGCAACACATACTTTGGGTGGGTGGTGGTTCCCGCAAATTTTAAACTTAAAGTTTATACCTACTTGGTTAGGTATATCATTTAATATATTTAAGACTCAAGAGTAATAACTAGTCAGTACAGCCACACTGAGATATATTTTATATAAATCACAGAAAGTCATAAAAATTATGGTGGGTAATGAATAAGGTTACAATCGTTTGATCATATCATTGCGTCCACCGTCTAGACTCGTTGCCCCTTGGACATGAAATTAAAGAGAATTGTTTTCTCTCTCTGGTACACGTAACTACAACATGACAAAACGCATTAACGTAAAATAATTTCTTTTATATTTTTGAGTAATCTAAGATTAAAATTATTCATCGTAAGGATTATAAAGAATATTTTTGAGGGAATGGTATAACATAGAGATTTGATTTGTCTGAATATTGTAACAAAACAATTTAAAAATTGTTTATATTTACATTTTTGTTTTTATTTCGAAAATCTAATACAAAGTCTAATAATAATAAAATACAAAACTGATATATTATATAACCGCCTTCAAAAATATTATCCTCTATAATTTGTATAACTGACATTCTCACAGTCAAATAATTAGAATTATTATGAAATATTAATATCAGAATATGTGTGTTTTATTTTGGATTTTGGACAATTATTAAGTCAATACTAATAACATGGACTTGCGCTCCGTGCCACCGTGTGGTGTGTAACCAGTTTTATTATCTTTAGAAATAATTTTCGATATTACTACATTCGAAAATATCTATTTATACTCAATTATTTTAGTAAGAAGTATAAATAATATATAGACGTACAACTATTTATATAATAAATTACGATAATATTATATTATGATAGGGGCTAAGAACTATGAGCTATTAAATTTAGTACTTTAATCTTTAATGGTAATCGTATCTGATTAGTCTATGACTTTGAATGTTTGTGAATGTTGTTTATCGTTAAGCGTTGGTTGAATTTTAAAAATGAATTCTTACTCATGTGCTTGTGGAAAAATTCGTGGTGAATTAAATAAAACCAATTGGACTCGACATTTAGTGTCATGTGGTAAAAAAATAAAAATGTCTAATTTTAATTATACTAATGTTACAAAAACATCATTTTTTAAACCACCAGTCAACACTTTAGCTAATACTAACATTGATACTGCAAATCTATGTGAAATAAGTAAGTGTTATTTTATACATATTTTATTTTAGCTAGTAAAATATACATTCTAATCAGTGTTGTACATAGATAACCAAAAAATTATCTAGATAAGATAACATATAATTCATTGAAAATTTATCTAGATAAGATAATAGATAAAAATCAAAATATTTATCTAGATAATAGATAATAGATAACTACATTTATCTAGATAAAAAAACAGATAATTTTTTTAAAATATTTTACACAAATTATAGCTTGCATTTGTAAAATTGCAATTTTATTATGAATAAAATAATCTTTATTTATTTTAATAATTTGGAGCACATTGTAAGTAAAATTTACTATTTTTTGCTTAGTATCCAACTATAATTTTTTAACAAAAACATTAGGTATATTATTTTTTAAGATATTGCATTTTTAATCAGGTTTATAATACCTATTATAAAAATTTGAAATGATAACTAAACCATTATTGAATTAAAATTATAATTTAAATAGTTAACATTGAAAATAATATAGTTATTCGTTTATTACTTTATAATTATTAATTATACACAGTGCTTAAATCGAGGGGACCTCTTCTTTTTAAAAAATATTTTAGCGTACCTCCTCTAATTATATCCTAATCAACAATTTATTTACATTTTGAGGTACGCATATTTTAGTTACACTCTTTCTGTTTTTTTCCCAATTCAAGCACTGATTATACATACATACATCTATATTTAACATGGCAAAAATCTACACAAATTATTGTCAACAACATTCTATTATTTTTATTTAATGAATTAAATGAATAGCAAACATTCATTAATATATAATAACCTTCTTATATACAATAATATAATACTTAATTAATTCAATTTAAATAAAAACTAATCATTTATTTTGTTTGGTTTAACACATACTAACATTTCAAATGTTTTGTCACCTAAACGGTTCCTCCTAGGAGCCAAGATCTGACTACCACTACTAAAGAGACGTTCAACTGGTGCAGAAGAAGGAAGCGTTGTGTTGTACTTAAGGAATATTTGTTTCACAATTAGATAGTTGTCCAAGGTTGTCAAGTCTTTCCGTCCATCTTTTTTTTTTGAATTTAAAAAAGATAGACCCTGTAGACTTGCCATGTTGTCACTTCTTTGACTAGAACTGTCAAAACTTCCAGATGATTGAGAACTTGACAATAACGAACTATAAAAATCATCCTCACTATCATTTTCTGATACTGCATAGTTCCCAGTTTCACTATTTATCTCAGAAACAATTTGATTACATTCAGAGATAAATAACTGTTTGCATATTTCTGAAAATTGCTGTGGCATCCAATCCATTTTAAACTTGGGGTGACTTACTGCCGTTAATATGTAAGGCTTACTTTTTGGTTCTTTTAAATCAAAAATAAACGAATACCGTTTTTCTAGACCTTTTATAATAGCCTTTGATAATGATGCACAATACACCAAATGATTTTGTTCCATTAATATAATATGTCTTATTGTAATAACAGTTGGAGCTACATATCCAAGATAACATGATTTTTCCCCTTGTAGTTTGTCTAATGCTATTGTTAG